CAGGAACTGCCACCTGGGGTGAGAGGGGGGCCGGTGGAGAGCTCTGTGAGCTGGGAATGTGCGGCTGGGGCCAAGGAAGTTGAGCTCGGAGCTCCAGGGGAGGCCTGGGAGTCTGAGGTACGCTGGGAGTGAGGTGGAAATGAAGGCCAGTAGTGGGAGAATCTCAGGGTCCAGGACCCCAAGAGCCACGGGTATGGATGTTGTCATGGGGTTGGGGCTGGACTGCAGGCCACATGCTCAATGGACACAAAGAAGGTCATGTGACAATGGCACAAATGGGCAAGTGGGGGTGCAGCCAACAGACTGACCTCAGAGCCTCCACCAAAGCACTGCAGGGAGCAAGTGGGGCCAAGCCTCGTCTCCCACCCACCCAGACAGCCGCTCCGGCTGCAGGCCACACACCTATCACACTCTCCACCTCCTCGGGGACATCATAGCCCTCCTCGCTGTCAGGAGTCTCGACATGCGTCCGGGCCTCCCTCTGGCTCTGGGTGCCGGCCTGCAGGTTAGCAGCCAAGGAGCGGCAGCCACGCTGGTACCTGCAGGGACCACACTTGACCTTAGCCCCACTGTCATAGCTCAGAGCCTAGCAAACAATCTTGACAATGGAAATTGACAACTGAGTGTCACTTGGGATCTGCACCGAGACCACCAGGAAAGATGACTAACAGTAGCCACAGAATCAGACCCAAACTCCCAAAGACTCAGAGTCCTCAGTGCCAGCTGTCACATCTGCAGGTGGAAAGGCAGCCGGGCAGCCTTGGAACCGCCCGCAGGCCTCATCCTCACTCACAGGGGCAGCACCTGGTCACACATTCCACCTCCCAGCCCATCACCCCGGCGCTCCAGCTGGTCCACTGCCCTCACCCACAGACACTGTCCTTCAGTACAGGGAGCCTGTAGATTCTGTCTGCCACCCACCAGCCTCCTCCCCAACCAGCAGAGGCCACTGGCACCATCTCCCGCGAGCACAGGCTGGTTCAGCTGTATGATTCTGCCCAGCTCTTGACTCTCTTGCTGCCTCAGTTTCCCCACCTATAAAATGCCCAACACAGAGGGCTGCAACAATGACGGATGAGAGGATGTGCACCAGGCACTCAGACCAGGGCCTTTCCTTCTGGAAGGTGGCAAGCACACAGGACCTGCCTCGAGGGTGGCTGGGACAGGCCTGGTGCATTAAGAGTGCCCAAGTCGCCGAAACCGGTTTGGCTCAGTGGATAGAGCGTCGGCCTGCGGACTGAAAGGTCCCAGGTTCGATTCCGGTGAGGGGCATGTACCTGGGTTGCTGGCACATCCCCAGTGGGGGATGTGCATGCTCCT